ACATGTTGGCCAGTTAAATAAAAGGTTAGGTGGTAGTTAGTCTGTCAGACCTTCTCTTCCCCCATCCTCCAGAGTATCACCTTTATATCTTTGTTGGGTGTTTATGGGAACGGCAGGTGACTTGATTCGGTGCCTCGTCTTGGGAAATGGCCCTTCAGCCTCAGGCCCACAGGGTGACCTCGTCGGGAGGCTGGAGGGGTCAGATGTGCTTCTGCCGGTGTGCAAACTCTGCATCTTCTGGAAGTTGCAGAGCAGTTTGTGCTTCTCTTTGCAGTCTGAGCTGGGTTCTAGCCCCAGCCACTGCTCTGCCCAGTCTGTGTCCACCCAGCCCTCGGGGCCCTGGTAGGTAGCGAATGGGTGGGCAGAGACACCCTAGCAGCTGTCGATGCCTCTTCTTTCCTCTTTGAAGGATCTGATGCTGCTGCCGATGAGGGCTACTTCATCTATTAAACCCAATACACTTGTCGCAGCTGCTAAGCCCCCGTAAGCCGCCGGGCGCCGTGTTTGTGATGGGACTGACAGTGCATGGAGGAGGCTGATTATACACGATTCCATTTCGCGGGCCCAGCAATGTAATTTCACAGGGCGATCAGCGTTTGCATGTAATAGCAGGCTGTGCTGAGGTGTCAGAATATTAAAGGCGCTAATGGCAAAGCTCCCTGTTCCACAGGGGGCCACCCGCCGCGCCTACAGCAGGGCTGCGCGGCAGGCCCGTCGCAGATGGCTGGCCACTAAGCTAATGGGGCAGCAGCCAAGGCGGGCAGAGCCACGAGAGGGGAGAGCCAGCCGGGAACAGCTCGGCACCTGCTTCCCCGCGCATGGAAATTACCGCAGCCCAAGGGAGGGAAGTGTGCGTGCCTGCCTGGCACAGGGCTGGGTGGGTGGCTGGGGAGGCCCCGCATCTTTCACCCTGGCCCTCCCTGCCCTGGATAGGACTCAGGCTCCTCAGTCATCCTTCCACCTGCCCCTGCTTTGGCCAGGAGCCCACAGCTGGGCAGGCGGGCCCTGGTGACTGGGAGAGGTGCAGCTGGAGAAGTAGCACTCAGAGAACTTGGAACCAGTGTGGGAAAGGGGCTCAGGCACAGGCTTTTGGCTCTTAAATTCTTGCTTAGCACTGAACAAGGTCAGAAAGCTTTTGGGTTCCTTACCCCATCACACCCCACAGCCTGGCAGGAGGGAGGGAGGAAGGGGGGAAAGGAAGCAGGTGGGAAAAAGGGGTTAGACAGTAATTAGGGCCCCTGACTGATGCCAGTGTTGCATGGAGCTGGAAGGCAGCACTTCAAGATATGGTGCCCTCCGTCCATGTTGGCCACCCCAGCTACACCCCAGCCATTGCCTGTTCTCATCAAGCTTTCTCCTGTCATTCTCCTTTGTCCTTGCTGCGTCTTCTTCCTGGTGCCCGCTAGTACCACTCTCTCCAGGAAGCTTTCCTAAACATTGCCAACCCCACATGGGCCTGTTTGTCTCCATTGTCCTTGTGGGCAATCCACTGGGGACAGCCTCCCCAGTCCTCCTGCTTGGATGGCTCCCTGGTCCCAGCCTTGACTTCTCAGCCCAAATCTCTGGGACATAGCCTGCATCACCTTGCCCTGAGCTGGGCTCCTGGGAATGCCCTGCTGAGATTCACAGGTGGATGTAATCTCTGAGGGAGGACGTCTGGAGGGAGTAGGGATGGAAGGATGGGCTGAGTCACTTGAGGGAGAGTTTGGTGTGCCTGTGTGGGTATGTGCACTCGTGCTCGATGGTATATGTATCTTGGGGGAAGGAGAGGGGAGGGACTTTAGAAGTGAGTGCTGGGGTTGGTGGACATGTAGGTACAGGCCCAGAGGGCAGCAGGTGCAAAGATCCAGACCACATGTTAGTAGGAGCACAGATTGCAGAAGGACCCAGTGTTCTCTGGATGGCTCTCTTTCTTCTGGCTGTGCCTGAGAGGTACCCGAGATGGCAGGAGTTGGGGGAATTTGTGGTGCAGTGCCCTGGTACTCTGCCTCGGGGTGGGCAGGGAGTTCCATGAGGCAGGTGGTCATGTCTGAAGGCTCAGCCCTGCAGAGGTGTGTGGCAGTACCTGGAGGAGGCATGCCGGGGTTCTCAGCAGGGGCAGCAGAGGGAGAGCCCAGGCTGAAGGAGAGCAGTTTTAATTAACCGGTTTTAATATCATTTTGGACTTTGGCTGGTATGTGAAGGCCCCGCAGGAAGCAGCATTTGTAAAAATTAAATCCCTCTTATTAGGAGCTTGGCAGACCCATGTGCACACGCCTTCCCTTCCCCCCGCCCATGCCCCCCCTGAGGAAGTGCCGGATGAGGCCATGTCATGGCAGCAATTGGTTATCACGCCTTATCTGGGAATATGAAACTGTGCAGCATGACACCCTGGCCGCGATGGAGATGCCAATTCATCTCGCCCTGGCTCTGACAAGCTAGACTGCCCTTCCTGAAAGGCGTTTGTCAGGCGGGACCGGGCTGCTGCCTCGCTGGGTACCCCTGCTTTCCTGCCGCGGGTCCCAGCTTGCTCTGGACCAGCCAGGCCCAGTCCAGCCCTCCTGGGCTCTGCTGCCCTCCGCCCCCCTCCCGCATGTCCCAGTCTGGGCAAGATCTTGGGAAGTCATAATTATAATAATAATCTAATCATGGTGACGCGTCGGGGCAAGCGCCTACTGTTATCTGAAGTGGTCTTCCCGCTTAGCTGCGATAAGACTCAGGATGACGTGCAGATAACGTTGAGCTGCCCTGTCCCCGAGCTGTGAGCAGAGCAGAGAGGCCTCCACAGCCCTGCTGCCCGCCCGCCCGCCGCTTTAAGCCGGGAAGCGGCAGCACCTGCTAATGCAAGTGTTTAATATTTGATGGGCTGGGATAAAGCAGGATCACCTTCGAATTGAATTGAGTGTCAGCCGAGAATCTATTACTGAAATTCGGGTGTGATTTGACAGCAAAGTAGACGATGTTATTCTTCACTAGTTACTGCAATCTTCTCCCCGACATCACTTAAATATTTTTTTCTTTGCTTGAGTAAACACACATTATCCTTCTTTTTTCCCCCTTCCTTCCCTTTTTCCTTTTTAGAGGGGGAAAAAAAACCCATCCAGCTCGCCTTCTCCAGGCTGATAGAGTAGATTGTTATTTCTTTATTTGTCCTATTAAATGGAATTTCTGATCGTTTAATCCGGCCTTTGTAAGTGATTTTAAAGTACTTGAAAGCCAGCCCGCCACTGCTCTCTGGCCCACTGCGTTCCAGCCGTGGCCCTGACCACGCTCACAGCTCCTCCAGCTGTGCACCGCCCACTGCCTGCTTTCCCTGCTGCCTGCGTCCTGGCTCTGCCCTGGCTCAGAGCCAGTGTCCGCTCCCCTGTCCTTGAGCCTCGTGCGCAGCCCCCGGTTTGTGGGTACAGCTGTGGTCTGAGAAAGGGTAGGAGGGTTGGCTTGGAAAGTTGGGCTGTGGCTGGTACCTCTGTGGTCAAGGAAGGTGTCTTTGGAAGGGCCTGAGGTTAAAGTACAGTGGCTCCTAGCCTCCCAGTGCCCAGAGGGCTGAGGCTTGGCTCCTGCAGCTGGGAAGGAAGGGTACCAGCCCCTTCCATGGCTCCTTGGTCCTGGCACAGACTGTATTTCTAGGCTCCTGTCTTCCATTTCTGACTCCCTGCTGGGCACTCCACTGCCCTACCCCCATGAAGGAGTCTTTAGTGGGATGGGGACCTCCTGGGCCCAGGGCTCCTCCTGGGAGGTGGCTCTGCAGTGCCTGTCTGACCATGGCTGGCAGTCACTTTAGTTCCACCAGTGGACTCACCATCCGACTTCAGGGAACTCACCCAAACTTCATTCCCACTGACCACTGTCCCACACGCTGTCACCTTCCTGCAACTAGGAGGACAGTATGGTGTTTGGGGACTTCTAAGGTGAGGAGCTGGGTAGTGTTTGAAGGGTCAGCTAGCTATGCAAGCCTACTGGCAGAAGCCCGGGACTTGCTAGCAGGCTGAACAGGAATTAAATCCCTGTTGGGGACTTAATAACATTTGAACCCTTGTAAGTCCCTTCTTTCTGGGCCTCAGTTTCCTCATCTGTGACATCAGGTCATCATGCCTGTAAGGGATGTAAGAGAAGGTGCTGTCTCTGTCCTGATGTGTGCCCCTCCTCCACCAGTGGAGGTTGGTGGCGGCCAGGTGGTGTGAGTAGGGGATGGAGGGGGGCAATGGAGTGCTGGGGGCCTGAGCAGATCGATGCCCCCAGCACTTCCTTCCCCAACCCCAGGAAAACAATTAAGTACAGATCGATGGGTGGCTGCTTTGAATATGCATAAGTGAGCACTTGACCTTCAGTGAGATCTGCTCCCCACCACACACACACACACACACACACACACACACACACACACACACTCTCTCTTCATGTACTCCCCTCACTGATGCTTGAGTTGGCCAGGTGACCTTACCCCTCCTCAGCTGAGCCCCGACGTGGCACTTGGCTCTACAGTCTGTCCCGCCTCTGGGTCGAAGGCAACTTGACCACAGTTAGGTGGTTGGCCCTTTCTTCTTCGCTTCAATTTTCCAGCCTGTGGAGTAAAGTCTGGATATGGATATATTAGTCTCCAAGTCCCTCCCAACACCAGTCTTTGTGATCAGTAATACTGTCGGGAGGGGACCAGCAGAGGACTGGGGACTCTGGAAAGGTGGGGTGCATGGTGAAGGAGATGCCCTGATGAGTGGAGGGTTCCTGATGAGGAGGAGCTTAGTAAATAGGAACTCTGGAGAGGATCCTGGTGAGAGGCACCCTATGAGGAATGGGGGCCTCTGATGGGGAGACACCCAGGAGAAGGGGAGCTCTGAAGGAGGAAGGGGTTTTCTGGAGGGGGCCTTGGTGGAGAAGGGACCCAGCAAGGGGACTCTCATGAAGGGGCACGATGAGAGTAAGCCCTTGCTGGGAAGACTTGGGGGACTGGGGGTGTTGGTTAGTGATGGGGCTGGTTCAGGGGTCAGGGCCTCTGTTAACAACTCTTGCCTCCTGTCTTCCAGGCTTACAGCTTCGCCATGGGCTGCTGGCCCAAGAATGGACTTCTAGACATGAACAAGGGCCTCAGCCTGCAGCACATAGGCCGGCCCCACAGCGGCATTGGTCAGTCCCTCCACATACCCCCTGGCAGCTCGGTCAGTCCCCTGCCCACGTGCCCCAGTCCCCTGGCACACAGAGGGGATTGGTGGCTCATTCAGTGCTCTCACAGGGTGCTGTCCACAGCTTGGGAGAGTGGGGAAGGGGGTGGAGTGAGGGGAGAGTGGAACCGGACCATTGGAAAGGATCTCTGGAAACAACCTTCAGGAGGAGGCCAGGGGCTGGGCTTTGGATTGGTCACAGGTGGCCTTGGGTTCAGGCCAAGGTGTCCCACCCTCGGCTGCATCTCTGGTGGGTGATATCCTCAGAGGAATGGGCATATGTCAGCTTACCCACCCCCCGTGGAGCTGGAGAAGGCTGTTTAATATTGTTTCAAGTCTGTGACCACTAAACTGGGCGATCAATGGGAGTTAAGGAGATGAATTATTTAAACCTCACCAGCTTTTAATTAGTCGGGGTCCTTCTGACCGATGGCTCCGTCCATAGGGTATTGACTCCCCCGCAGGAACAGCAGCCTCCATTGAGCGGTGCCTGGGTTGGGAGGGGCCACTTGGGGTACCAGAGTGGGGTGCACTCTCAGGGGGATTCCTGTGTGGGAGGGGCTGGAGTGGCTGTGGTTCTAGGCTCTGGAGGCTCCTCTAGCTTCTTATATGTCAATGTGGATATGTGTCTGTGTCTGTGTGCGTGTGAATGGCACCTTAAGCTGCATGTGTTTGTCTAGGAGTTTATATGTGTCCGTGTATGTGTAGCTGTTTGAGGGATGTGTAACAGTGTATTTGTATACATTTCCCTGAGGGCACCTGTCTGTCTGTGGAAGCAGCCATCAGCCTGTGTGTATATCCATCAGAAAGTATGTTTGTTCATTTCTCTATATCTGCATGTGCAAACGTGTGCATGCAGATGCTTTCAAGCAGGGTACTTGATGGGCATCGGCTTTGTTCCAAGTGGGGAGGAGTGGGGGTGTTCCTGGGTGGTGCTTTGACATTATCATAACCTGTGTACCTTTGGGAAGGTATAGGGGGTGGAACTGTGAAGATAAAAGAGAAGGATATGGTCACTTGCTACAGACTAGCCCCTCATCCTGTCCACAGATGTCACCAGAGCCTAGTGGGTGCTGGGCATGCTGAGTGGAAGTTCCTGTCCTCAGGGAGCTCAGCCCTGGAGGGAGACAGACTGAACTGGGTGGTTTCCACCCAGGGTACTCAGGGCCATGGTAGAGACACCTGGGTTTCCCCAAGGGCAGTTTCCCCTGCCCTCCTTTGCCAAGTGGCTTCTACTTCTTCATTTACGTTTCACTAATTTCAGGGATGCCCCATATCATTCTTTTTGGGATGCCCCAAGGCTCTCCTGGGATCTGAGGGAAAAAGGAAGTGGTGGACGGGCCTGGGAATTGGGAGTGTCCTGTACCAACTGCTGTTCCCTCCCATGGGAGCTATGCCGGACCACCTAGAGGAGACCCCAAACCCAGTAAATCGATAGGCCTTGGAGGTCAGCCAGAAGTTTCCTAGAGAAGATGACACTTGAGCCAGGGGATCCTTGAAGGATAAATAGGAGTTTGCTAGACAGACAGATGGGGGAAAGTTTTTCTACTTTGGGGGAACTGTGTGTACAAAAGCCCCAGGGCAGGAGGAAGCCCCGCATGCTAAGAGGACAATTTTGGATGTCTGCAAGTAGTTTCCTGTGACTAAAGTGGGGCATTTGGGTTAGGGAACAATGAGAAAACAAATGCAGAAATAAGCTAGCCTTGAATGCAGGTTAGGGGGTGTGGCTTTTTCACGAAGTTTTGAGGAGACAGAGGAGCTCTGATCCCAAATCAATGAGATGGTCTGTGCACAAATCATTGCAAGTAGGTGCTTAACAAATGCTATGGGTGGATGAATGAACAGTGAGTAAGTGGATGAATCAATGCAAGAGGGATGGGAAAGGGAGGGACCAGAGAACTGGGACCACTGAGAGTACTTGCATTGGCCCAGGGGAGGAGGAACTGCCAGAAATTGAGGCCTAGCCGGTGGGAGGGGCTGGCAGGACTAGGTTAATGCACCCTGCACAGCCTTGTGTTGGTTGCCCTGCTTCTGTGTATCTGTCCCAGGGGGTGTCTGTGAGAGGAAGGGGTTCCTTGTTCCCCTCTTTGCTGCCTCCTGAGACTCAATGATGCCATCCTTGTCTGTTTACCCACATTGACTCTGACCTGGGACCCCTGAAGTGTCTTCTACTTCAGAGAAGGTTTTTCCATCTGGGTGGGCCCCAGGGGACAGCCCAAGGCAGTGACAGTGAAGTAAAGACTTTGGAGCCGGAAGCAGTTCTGGCCCCGTGACCTTAGACAAGGGACAACGTTACATGCCTCTTGGGGCTGTTGGGAAGGCTCAGTGAAGTCCCCTGCATGGACGGCCTGTGCCATCCAGGCACACGGTGGTGCTCAGGGAGCTCCTAGCACTTGGTCTTTGTATCTGAATGAAGAGGGCTGCTCTGCCAGCTCCTGGCTTGCTCTGAGGTGTGAGCGAGGGTGCTTGGAAGGTGGGGAGGATGCAGGGCATTAATTGGGCTGGGAGAGGCGGGGAGGGGAGGTGTGGGTTTTGAGCAGTGAGGTTAATGGCCCTCGCGCCAAAGAGACAGCTTTAATGAGCTTCAGCTGGAGGTGCCCCGAGTTACTGTGCGTGCTAAAAGGGTCGCGCTGTAAGAGTTTGATGTGGACTGTTTCCCAGCCCTGGGGTCAGGGGTCAGCTCCTGTCACTGGCCACTCAGGCTGGTCCTCAGTGACATGGTGCTAATTAACTGTGTGAGGAGCTGCCAGCCTGAAGTGGGGAGTGGTACGTATCTTGCTGGGTTGGGGGGTGGTGGTGAGGCAGCACTGGTGACGCTGGGCAAGGGGTCTGCAGATCCCACAGCGTTGCCGTCTCCAGGAGCTGCCTGGTTCTCCCACAATGCCACGGGGGCAGTGGCAGGGTGTGCAGATCTCTGATGACCCTAGGTCCTGGAGGGGTCTCCTGAGCCTCCTTCTAAGGTACGTGTGGCATGGGAATCCTGTGGGCCTACCTGGTGGGGACTCTTGCTGAGCATCGATGTGGTGGGGGTGCTGACAGAGTGAGGGTTAGGCTGATGGGCAGGGCAGGCACATGGACTGTGGGAGGGAGGGGCCCACTGGGATGGGGCTCATGGCTGAGCTGTTTGAGGAGCTGTGGGGTGCTCAGGTAGAGGAGTGACCTGGTCAGAGGTGGGCTTCAGTCAGCCCCATCTGAGAGTTTGTATAGGGAAGGCTAGTGAGGAGAAGCCACATAAGGGGAGCTGCATGGGAGATGCAGAAAGGCATGAGGGAGGTGGTGGTTAATTCCCTGTGTTCGGTGAACGTTTGTTTCTTTGCACCTGCTGTGTGTCAGGAACTATGTTGGTGCTAAGCATGCGTTGGTAAAGACAACAGGGCCCTTCCCCACAGAGCTCCAGGTACAGTTGTCAGGATGGGCTCATGGCTTGGCCCTGAAGGCTGAAGGAGAGGTAGGGTTCATGGTTGGAGCTCCAGGCAGACAGGGGGCTGTCTCATAGCTGCTCAGTCTGGGAGGGGTGCTTCCTCCTGGGGGAGTGGGTTTGGTCTTGGGGGCCTGATGAGCAGGGTGGCATGGAGCAGGTCATGGGTAGGGAGGGACTGCACATTTGCAGAACTGCTGCCTGGTTGTGTCAGCAGGCTCTGTCAGTGTCCTTGGCAACTCCCGGGGCAGGGCGGCCTCCACAGGGGACTGCCGAGTGCTGTGTGGTCCTTCTTTTGGTTTAGCACAGCCCTTGCAGTATTTGGAGGCACTTAGTATTAACTACTTTAATTTTCACACAGTCTCATAAAGGCAGGCATCATCATGCCCATTTTACAGGTTGGGAGGCTGAGGCTCAGTTAAGTGACTTGCCTGAGGTCACACAGCCAGTTGAACTGAGGAGCCAGGATTCAAACCCAGGCCTATCTGAGCACAAAGCCTGTGTTCTTGCCACTGTGCTGAACTCAGAGCACCTTTTTGGTGTTGGGCTTTGTGCTGCCAACAGAGACAGTGAAGAAAACACTCACATCCCACATTTCCCTCAGTGTCTTGTGAAACACTCAGGCCTTGGCAAAGCTTGGGAAGCAACAACTGAGGAAGAACAGGGAGGGGACATCGCGACCCGCCCCCTTTCGCTACAGCCACCCTCAGAGCCAGGGCTCTGCCTCTGGGCTTCCAACGTCCATCTGACCCCGACAGTTCTACACTGTGAGATCTGTTTACTCTTCACCTTTTGGCCCAGGAAAATCTTGCGCATCTCTCAGGTGCCACCCACTCTGGGGATCTTGCCTGGCCCTCCCAGTGTGAGTGCACAGAATGCATCCCTGGGCCCCGGATCTGTTGAGGGTAATGGTCAGGCCCTACATACCTGACCTCTCTCAGGGCAGGACTCAGGCCTCCTCCTCTTTTCTTTTTGGAAACCTGCACAGGAAATGCAGGTAAAATCTCACCTATTGTTGGGACACAGAGGCCGCACAGACTACTGATATCACAGGTGGGGAGAATAACCAGAACCTTTCCTTGTGCCCAGCTGGGTGGTCCTGCCCTGGCTGCGTAGCCCCTCTGCTCTGGGGCTGGGGGGTCTCACAGCCTCAAGTTGAGATGGGATGGCCAGACACTGGGTGGACACCCTCAGAAGCTTGCTGCCCAGCACAGTTTGGCCAGAGAGCTGGGCTGGCAGGTGGCAGGGTAGGGCCTGGCCCTGGGGGGCAGTGCTGGCCTGTAGGCTCCCTGGAAGGAGTGGGGTGTCTATCAGAGTCCAGTCAGAGCACATTAGCTCTGTGACACGGATCTCATTAGCGCCCGTGAGAGGTGTCACTGCAGGAGAATCGTTGGTTCAGGGAGATGCTTGTACCAAAAGGAAGAAAGGACAGTGACAGCCTTTTCTCTGCCGCCTCTGCCACCGCGCTCCCTGGGCCTCCCGCCCTCCTCCTCGTGGGGGGGTGGGGGTGCGGGCTAATGAGCTCATCTGCAGTACGGCTCTGCTTT